TGGCATCAAATTGTTCTATAGTCAAGGAGCAAATAGTAATATTTGTTAAGAATATTTGCAGCAATGAGTAGCCATATGGATAATCATTATTCTTTATTGTAATTATGCTGAAGGGACAATTCTCAAATGTTGAGGAAAGTGTCACCAACAACAGTAATCCTAACAGTTTTCAATAACATTCAGTTTTGACATTCTTTATTGTGCGTATTTCTAAGCCACTGCCCCTGTCAACTTCGGAAAGGAACATTAAATGTGACCAACAAAATCATTTTCCCTATTTCCTTCCACTGCTCTAGTAACTGGTTATTTTGTAGTATATCCAAGAAAGGACCTGCTCCCCAGACAATCTTCATTCCTGTTGTGGACTGTCATAATTCTATTACAATTAAATCATTTGCTGGTCCATCACCCAGAGCACCCACTTGCGTCTGAAGATGCGTGTAGCTTTGTGCCCTCTGCCTGTTGTATCACACAGACATGTGCAGGAAGCAGTTGTTATTCTTTAACCCTCTGTTGTGAGCATATCATTTGAGACAGCCGTAGAAAGCTGTTATTGGAGTACAATTTCTTCTCTCTATAAATGTTCCTATACTGCACTTAGAAAGTTGTCAGAATTCAGATTGGTCATAAGCAATTTAAGGAATATGTAGGTAAGGTGATTAGTTGGGTTTATACTCTGGCCTTCACCCTGTGCCACCAGGTTTGTCTCATCAGTGTGGTGAAGAGAGAAATTCAAAATGATGACAAGAATTTAGATGAAGACACATATAACAATGAAATAAAATACATATTGTTCAAAACAGTTTCCTTTGCTGCTTGGAGCCATTTCTCAGCCTGTCGTTCCACATGATGTGTGGTTGTGGACTGTGTGACCAGTGAAGAGTTCAGGTTCATAAATATTTTGTTTCTGCAGAAATACTGGAAATGTCTTGTGTCCGCTGATCGACAAAGGACTTTGTTCCATTGGAATTAGTAAGGCTGAGAGGAAAAAGTACTCCTGTTCATGAAAGATGTGTGCAATCCGGTGTTGCAGCCACATATATTTTATACAAAATTAAATTGGTCTAATCAATCAGGATCTCATAACGCACCAAATTAATGGCTTTTGGTTATTATGAATTCAAATTTAAATCAGACAAGTAGTGATATCCTTTCCCTTATTTCATCAATCTGCAATTTCTCTGACGATGCTGTAGAACGTCAGCAAACAACAGAGAATCTTAAATTGAGTAATTAACCTGTCTGTAGGAAGTAAATGGATTTAGCGTAGCCCTTATACGTGGCATAAAACAGTGGTCTAATTTTTATTAGTCCTTTATTCTTACGTTTGAAAAAGATGTTTTATAAGTAATCCGAGGACGAGATCAAACAAAATTTAAAAATTAATTTTTGCTGGCCTAGAAGTTTACTTTGCATAAACAATTTACACATGGCGTTTGTGAGTGGGCGTTAACCAGAGGTAGAATAATTTTTAGCTGGAACCTTCTTAGCGCGCTGAGAAAAACACGAATTCTGTACATCGGGGCAAACAGATTTCATCACCAGTGCAATTATATTTGGAACTTCATGTAATTGATATTGCTAGTTAATTGTTAGAATTTTAAGACATATTCTTACAACATGAAATAAATTGAAATTTGCAGCCACTAAACATTCTGTAATATAAAGCACTGTAATTTGTGGCATTTTAACATTTTCGTTTGTAATATGAATGTGATCAAGATTTTAAAGAAGGCCTTTTTTGGAGAACCGAAACATATTGATCTAGATACAGTTACTATTGCATAGACCGGTAATTGTTAATTTTGGTTTGTGCTTTCCCGGACAATGATTACATATTCACTTCGGAAAATAAATTTTGAATTAATGAAATGTCTTGCTCTAGACCAGTGTTGGGCAACCTATCTACACTCGCGGCACACAAAATATTGTCGAAGAGTCATGGCGGCACATCAACCCCATTTTACAAATGGGGGGTGAATAGGTGGTTTATGGCATTGATTGGCCGCGACAACTTCTTGTAGATCGACCCCAACCGAAAAATGTTTTATTTGATGTTTATAATTATCCATTTTTATTATGTCATTTATTTTAAATATAACCGTTATTTGAAATGAAGTAAAATATAATATTTCCCACCGTTTGATCCAAGATTTATTAACTATGTGTAAACATTTAAACTTGAAGATACTTACTCATATTTTTATATGTAGATTGCAGAAAATTAGAGTGGCAATAAAAGTAAATGGGAGGTACACATGTTTTGCTGCAACGTGTTTGTGTTGCTTTCCAGTTCCATTCTGCAAATCTTGTCCGTCCTCTGTGTGCCCGATCGTAATAAAGTAAATGAAAACTGAGACAGCAGAAAACGAGATTAACAATTGTGTCTCATGGTTATAATTATAAAATTACGTGAAAATTTCGTGGCGCACTTAGATGGCCTCCGCGATACTCCGGTGTGCCCTAGACGAGTGATCTTCCCACAATGGCCGCTTTTTGTGTTTCCAAGATAGAATTCTTGCCAGGGATGTCATCTGAATACTTACAGTTGCAACATCAGTATCACCGCTTTCGCTTACCACGCTGTCTTTGAATCAGTATTTCTATTATTTAATATTTTACCTGCTTTGTTTATTGCTTTTCTGTCTTTCGGTGCACTTGGTAACCCTGACTTGCATAAACTTGACGTTTTAATGTTTGTACCACTTCTCCCAGTCCCATTTGTTCACAGGAATGAAAATGTAGTATGCATGTCCTGTACTGACATATACGAGGTGCGATCGGAAAGTTTCAAGACTGCGCCTATAAAAACCCGTACACTTATCTCAGGTATTAAATTCATCCATCACCCTCGAAGTAGTTCCCCTGGGAGTGAACACAACGATCCCAGCGCCGCTGCCAAGCCTGGAAGCATCCCTGGAAATCTTTCTTTGTCAGCCTGTCAAGCACCATCTGCGATTCTGCCTGAATCTCTTCTATCGTCTCAAATCTCCTTCCCTTTAGCTGAATTTTCATCTTTGGGAAGAGGGAGAAGTCACACGGAGCTTAGAAAGGAAGTTGGGGTCGGTTCTTGCAAGATCTTTGAGCTCCTGACAAACGAGAAGTCGATTCTGCTTCTGGTCCTCAGACAGGATGCGTCGCCTGTGGAGTTCTTCCTTTAGAATCAGCTGACAGGTCCCTTAGCCTATCCCAACAATGTCGCACAAGTCGTTGATGGTACGACGTCGATCTTCGTAACATTTTCGGGCGTTGTGCTCGAAGATGGTCGTCCAGAACGCTCGTCATCATCGACAGGGGTTCGGCCATTTTTAAAACGTGAATGCCACATAAAAGTTTGTGCACGACCCATTGCGGACTCCCCAAATGCTTGCTTTAGCATTTCATAGGTTTCCGTAGCCGTTTTGGCGAGTCTTTGGCAAAATTTGATGCACACTCTTTGTTCATGAAAATCCGCCATTCCGAAATCGCAGGAGGGTCGGTGTAATGCACTACCAAAACGCCCGTAACTAAGAAACAAATGCTAATTTGATGATGACGACTGGCACACTGATTCACTATGAATGTAGGCCGCACCCCCTAGCGGCAGAAGCTCGTACTACATCCGGTTGGCCCTCTATTGACACAGTCAAGAAACTTTCCGATCGCACCTCGGATTGTCATCATTCTCTCCTCCACTACTCGCATTGACCAACAGTATGTTATCATTCTAACTATATAAATTCTCTGGTCTACTATCTTGTATGATTTGCTTTCATCTCATTTTAATCTAAAAGACTTCATTTATTTCAACTATTATTATTATTTTTTTTATTATTATTATTTATTATTGACTGCAAATGGGTTTATACCCGGTGGCAGTGACCTACAATAAGATACAAAACAATGAGATACAACAGAACAATGAGATACATCAACACAATGAGACAGAACAAAACAATAAGACACAACAAACAATGAGATACATCAACACAGAGACAGAACAAAACAATAAAAAAGGACAACAAAAACAATAAGACACAAACAATGAGATACATCAACACAGAGACAGAACAAAACAATAAAAAAAGGACACAACAAAACAACACATCCCACTCAAAATCAACCAACTCATAAATTACAAAATTATAAAGCTATTGATGTATTCAGTAGCAAGTTGCCTTCATGCATAAAAATCCTCCAAAATTATGTAATTTTATATAAAATCTTTGTTGCTACCATTCTGTGCTTATTGTTGTGTTCTCGTGTGCTGCATTTGTAATTGGCCTTCCGGCTGTTGATACAGCACACCAATTATAAAGAATTGAATTGAATCATGATTACTATCATTATCTTTAATGTCACTCTTGTTGCTTTTATTATATGATCATCAGTACCAGATGTGCGGGATTGCATGTCCTCAGGTTGCGGACGGAGGGGAAGGCCTCTAGATAAGGATGGCTGCGAATACTTAACCATCGACAAGGGGTGGTACCACAGCTCTTGTTTGAGCGCTGGTCAGCCTGGTCCCATCTTAAAAACTCAGTTTATAGTCGAAATGTTTCTCATGGTCTCGGAATTTGAGAGATTATTTGAATTTCCAATATTGTTATCTAATGTTGTAATCCACTTTTACTTTCTTCAAATATTTAGTAGGTACTCCGTACCTCTTAACAAAGACAGTGCTCCTGCAAGTTTAATTCTTTTATTTGAAAATGTGCTTCAGAGGATTTCAGCTTGGAAACTGACCAACTCCCTAATAGCTTGTCTACAGAAGGGTGGTAACTACTACGTGTTCATTTCACCTTGAAAATAATAACCGCTTGAGTGCTAAGTCTTCTAGTCCAAATACTGTGCTCTGACTGCTCTTTCTTAATACCGTTCGTACCATGTAGCAGCACACAAATAACAAAAGCAGCCAACCACATTTATCGAAAACAAACATTTATTAACAATTTAATTTTGTATACATGTTTCAGTCCGATGGGGCTGTTTTGCTGTTCTTTCTGTTTCAAAAAAAACCCATGGTCTCAAAGACGAGGTGATTGAGGCGAGGAATTTAGTTCCATTTGCTCGTCTAATCTCCCTCCTCCGCTTCGTTTTGGATCTGGTCGAGTCACTCCTTTTTGGGCTCTACAAGCTTTGCTGGAGGGCTTACATCTTGAATCATGAATCTCGTTCTCTTCGAGACGAATCCCGTGTTCTGAGAGACGTCTTTCATCTTCTATAAATAGGGCAAACAAACAACTATTAACACCATAAAAAGACACTATTGCCATACGCGTTTCAACCTCAAGAGGTCATCATCAGTGGCATCAGGGAAATTAATTCATTTAATCAAATGGTTTAAACTGGATTTAGAAAATAAATAATGAATAGGACATGTGACGAAAATATTTCAAGCGACACTGCACTTAGCTATTGATCGGATGGTCCGGTGGCCGTAGCTGGTCTACGGCGAACTGTGGTTGCGTCATTCATACCTGTGAACTCCAGAATCTGGATCAATAGCTAAGTGCAGAGTTCAACCCTCGTGAATAACAACATCTAGTGCAGTGTCGCTTGAAATACTTTTGTTAAATACCCTATTCATTATTTATTTTCTAAATCCAGTTTAAACCATTTGATTAAATGAATTAATTTCCCTGATGCCGCTGATGATGACCTCTTGAGGTTGAAATGCGTATGACAAATGGCTATTCATCCGGTGGCCGTAGCTGGTTTGCGGCGAGCTGTAGTTGCGTCGTCCGTACCTGTGAACTCCAGAACCGTGGCTCGCCGCAGACCAGCTACGGCCACCGGACCACCGGATGAATAGCCAAGTGCAGAGTCTATTCCTATGAATAACAACATCTGGTGCAGTGTCGCTTAAAATAATTTTCGTCACATGTCCTATTCATTATTTATTTTCTAAATCAAGTTTGAGCCATTTAATTAAATAAATTGATTTCCCTGATGATGACCTCTTGAGGTTGAAACGCGTATGACATTAGTGTCTTTTTATAGTGTTAATAGTTTGTTTGTTTGCCTATTTATATTTCAATACACTACACGGTATGCAAAGTTTTAAGATCTTCCATCTTCCTTTGGCACTCTGACAGATCCTGCATAAGCACAGAAAATTCAAGTCATTTCAATGGCAAAATGAACTCCTTACACTCATCAACTTACACACAAAACTAAGCCAATAGCCATAAAGTTAACACAGAAGAAACTGTGCAGGAAGGCACTTGTGAATTTAAATGGAGCCGGGAAGGTTCTTTTCTTATTCCATGGCTGACCCTCGGCATGACCTATCAGTCAAAATTCACTCACAGTTGCCAACAAACTAGAACAACTTGCATGTTAGCAGACAGGAAACCAAAAAGTCAGTGTTGAGGATCTACTATAAAAATTTGTGATTCCCCGTCGTCGTCGTCAAAAATGTGTCTTACTCAAGAAATTAAAACGCAACCAACCCCCCCAAGGTGGAGTTAGTCAAGTGTTTAACCCCCCCATTCGGGGGTGAGGGTTAGTTTAGTTTCTTACTCAAGGGTTAAAACACTTGAATGAGACACTAAACTAACCCTTCCGAAGGGGGGTTAGTTTAGTGTCTTACTCAAGAAATTAAAACGCAACCAACCCCCCCAAGGTGGAGTTAGTCAAGTGTTTAACCCCCCCATTCGGGGGTGAGGGTTAGTTTAGTTTCTTACTCAAGGGTTAAAACACTTGAATGAGACACTAAACTAACCCCCCTTCGGAAGGGTTAGTTTAGTGTCTTACTCAAGAATTTAAAACGCAACCAACCCCCCCAAGGTGGAGTTAGTCAAGTGTTTAACCCCCCCATTCGGGGGTGAGGGTTAGTTTAGTTTCTTACTCAAGGGTTAAAACACTTGAATGAGACACTAAACTAACCCCCCTTCGGAAGGGTTAGTTTAGTGTCTTACTCAAGAATTTAAAACGCAACCAACCCCCCCAAGGTGGAGTTAGTCAAGTGTTTAACCCCCCCATTCGGGGGTGAGGGTTAGTTTAGTTTCTTACTCAAGGGTTAAAACACTTGAATGAGACACTAAACTAACCCCCCTTCGGAAGGGTTAGTTTAGTGTCTTACTCAAGAATTTAAAACGCAACCAACCCCCCCAAGGTGGAGTTAGTCAAGTGTTTAACCCCCCCATTCGGGGGTGAGGGTTAGTTTAGTTTCTTACTCAAGGGTTAAAACACTTGAATGAGACACTAAACTAACCCCCCTTCGGAAGGGTTAGTTTAGTGTCTTACTCAAGAATTTAAAACGCAACCAACCCCCCCAAGGTGGAGTTAGTCAAGTGTTTAACCCCCCCATTCGGGGGTGAGGGTTAGTTTAGTTTCTTACTCAAGGGTTAAAACACTTGAATGAGACACTAAACTAACCCCCCTTCGGAAGGGTTAGTTTAGTGTCTTACTCAAGAATTTAAAACGCAACCAACCCCCCCAAGGTGGAGTTAGTCAAGTGTTTAACCCCCCCATTCGGGGGTGAGGGTTAGTTTAGTTTCTTACTCAAGGGTTAAAACACTTGAATGAGACACTAAACTAACCCCCCTTCGGAAGGGTTAGTTTAGTGTCTTACTCAAGAATTTAAAACGCAACCAACCCCCCCAAGGTGGAGTTAGTCAAGTGTTTAACCCCCCCATTCGGGGGTGAGGGTTAGTTTAGTTTCTTACACAAGGTTGGTTGCGTTTTACAAACTCCGAAAGGAGCGCCCTGCTCTAGTTAATAAAAAAATTATGGATGGCATGATCTTCAGCATTCACCTCGTCTCTTAACGAGTGACAAAAGAAATGAGTATCACAAAGGACTCCAAGAATTGCTACAAAATCATTCGCATTTACGCCTTGCAAAACAACAGTTGTGCATCCCCTGCAGTCACGTGATCCAGTAGCCAACGTTACCTTCTAAAGAGGAAAGGTATAATGTCACAAGCTCTTCCATTATTTACATGAGGATAGGACACGTGACTCTCAGACAGATCACTTTATGCAACAAACCACAGTTGCCTAGTGACAGAACAAACGTAGACACCAATTGCTTCTAGCATTTTACCTTATGTTCGAACCCAGGGTCTACAAGCAGCCAGCCGACACAAAGTTCGAAGGAGGACAATAGGTTATGTAGTACGAGAACCGCAAATTGAAACCAAAACTATCGAAGAACGAACTAATCGAATACGCAGACGACCACTTCGGAGAAAAAGAGTTTTAGGGAAGGAACAGAGTGCAGCGTTATCATGTAACAAACAACTGAAGCTACGGGAATAAATCTCACCGACACTTCAGTATTTCCTGGACATAAGGGACCTTAAGAAATTTCGAAACGAGGTAGAATTTGCTCAATAAGTGCGCTGGAAAATTATAGCAGACTGCTCTAGCCGGTAGAAGGAAGGAAGCCTTGCTCAACAAAATGGAAAAGAACAGGAATCTTGGGATCTATTCTGCATGCAGATATCAAGTACCGATTTTTAAAGCAGGGAATGAAATGGGCGGTTCAGGAAACTGGTTAAACAGAGGTGCAAAGAATGATAGTTAATTTAAAAGTCGCCTTCATCCTGAAGAAGAGAGATGCCATCTGTGGAAATTACGTCAGAAGGCTAAGAAAAGAAGTCGGAAGAATCACTGAACAAAGAACAGGATTCAAGTATTCAGTGACCAGAATCCAGAACGCCAGAATGAACGTGGATTATAAAATGCCAAGTAAAGTTCGATAATTTTACGTACTGAAATACGAAACTATCAAATGTTAACGATTATACATTTCAGGGCTGGCTTCTTCAGGAGTGTTTGCGTGCACCTCCCGTATTTAAGAAACCCTGCCAACAATGTTTGTACACAGACCGCGTTGAACGAGGCAGGCCCGTTTCGTTGCGTGTAAGAACTGAACGTCTGATTTTAAGTACAAGCTGTAATGAGTGACACAACGTTTAAACTCAATAAATGTCAGTAAAACGTAAATGGTCTTGACCGAACGGTTGACGGATTTCCAATACAGGAATGGCAAGTTTATAAGGAGACCTTAACGGAATGAAGGGCGTAATAATTTGTTGGCAAGCAAATGACAACCGGGACTGAACTGGGAAGAATATGTAAAAAAAACATCGCACTGCATACAACAATGGCAGAAATATCCAAAGTTAATATCAGCGTAGATGGCATTTGAAGGGCACTGTCAGGATTTATAAAAATTGACAAACCCAGGAAGAATGTAAGGGGAAGACAGTAAATTCGACACACAATTAATGTGACGCTTTACTGTTCAAAACACGTGCAAAGAAAGAATGCAGAGAAATCCATTACCGACTTCGTATACTTTAAATCGACTGGCGAAAGAGATTGCAACAATGCTCTCGTGTAGCCGCGTAGAATGTTGACGGTTTTCGAGCACCTGTCCTGTGAAAGTATTTCTCGTGACCTCCATTCCAAGCCACGAGGTCACTGACTCACAACAGCAGCTCCCTCTGTAACCACAGACGCGCCTTGTCAGCTGGGGGTAGGAAGAAGCTGTTATGAAATGCGCAAATTGTAACGGCCCTGCGTTGTTTTCGTCGGCAAAATGCCAGGGGTTGAGGGTGAAATATAGGAAGTAAATTGCCCCTTTTCCAACGGAAAATCCTGTGACCCGATGCTACATATCTTTCTCCCCATTCACTGAAGTCATCTGCTCCCTTACTTCGTCCTTCCTTCCAGCGCTTTGATCTGTTCCGTCCTGTCCGAACCACGTGGCCGCCAAACATTTTCTCATAACCTCCTCTATTGCTTCTCCGGTCACGAAAACCTATTCGTTCATCCACTTTCCTAAACATTTGTACAAAATCCCATTTTCTAGTCATGTACATTGCTCAACCACGAGGCTGCATCCTTCCGTCCTCCTGCGGATATCCTCCTCGCCCATTTTCCAATCATCACGTCACCCACTAACCTAACCTAACCTAACCTAACGTAATCTTCTGCTGCTTCCGAATCTCCCCAAAAGATATTTGCCCTGAATGAAGATGGCAACAACACTTTGTCGAAAACCTTCAACATTCTACGCTGCTTGCTTCCGTAATCCGAAATTAAGCAATGGAACCAGTGGTCGACTTACACTTGCCTGCATCGTTGATTCCGTGGCCTGGTCGCTCCTCAGTCCACTGGAAGACAGTGATCTTTCTTCGCCCCGCTGATGGTGTCCTAGAGTGGCCGTCGTTTGGGACATCGACCTCCGGCTTTTGGTAAGTCGTTGTGGTCTCTTGGTTGGCCTTTCGCCGTCTTCTGATCTGTTCAGCTCCCTCTTTCGTGGCGCAATTTTCCCGACGACCGCAGGTGTTGCTGGCCCTACAGGAATCTCCGTCGTTTGTGTTTTGGGCTTAGTCTCTGCTAAAGGAAAATACAAGACATATTCAGTCTGTGTTCGTGTAAGGGACACAGCGATTCTCGACACTTGAACACACGGGAATTTTCGTCTGTCTGCTCCAGTATATTTTCTGCTGATAAATATTTTAACATTCTCTAAAGAATGCAACTTCTATTCCATGTTTCTAAAATTAAAGCTGTGTACAATTCTCCTCATAATGTCGCCTTTCTTGCACGCAATTTTACTTCTGAGCAGTTTTATAAACTGAGTGCCGTAAAGGCGCTTGGGGTGACTGGAGGTATAGCTCCTCTCGTCCTTGACGTCGGCACTAGATGGAGGTGAGTGGTCGGCATCACGCCCCGGCCGGCTTCACCCCCGGGAAAGGACCCCGGTACCCATTGTAGAGAAGGCTAGGTGGGCCCCAGAGCCGATCTGGACGCAGAGGCTAGAGGAAAAATCGTCTGCCCCCGTCGGGGATCGAACCCCGGTCGTCCAGCCCGTAGCTAGACACTATACTGACTGAGCTATCCCAGCTCATGGAACGTATGTGAAGCAGAAGGCAATTCCTTGACCACTTTTAGCCCTGGCGATGGAAGACAACACCAGACATTCCGTCCACGATTTTCTAAATGAGAACATTTTAACTTGCATTGACAGAATTCAGTATTGTAAAATATTCGAATGCAAGCCCTTATTCTAGCAAATCATATCACTTTCTTAATTATCCTTGTGCCCCTGAATTTTATTTATAGAAAATCGTATCCAAATTCAACAAAACGTGATCCTAATTAAGTGACCTGGAACAGCAGATGAAGCAATTGGGTGGAAAGGGAGAAGACTGTAACTTCCACAGCAAACGTCGAAGGGAGACAAACTGGTGCAAATTTTTGACGGAGTTTAAGGATTTGAAAATATTGAATACGTGAGTCCTTTACGCCAGATTTATTTGTATAGTTTTGTAATATGTCTTACATCGGAAACACAATATTAAATTCTATGGAGTTCGCTGTCAAATCTGCATCATACAAAATGAATTCGAGTTCTCGACTGAGGAAAAGACATTTGAGGAAATTCGACAGTGAAGTGAGTGACGAAGGAAAATCTTAACGCGAGGGTTGTTGGATGCGGATTCATTGTTGTGGACACACCAGATCCATTAACTTTGAGAGAAAAGTTAATTTCCGGAAGGCAGGATTGCAAACAATTTTGTGTCACGTGTGTGTGTACGAATGTCTCTGTACTACTTGGGGGCAGAATCAAGATAAAATGTACATAGGAAACATGAGGTGCAAAGAATAGGTTTGTTCTGAAATTAAGTAAAATATCTCACCTGAGGATGAAGTGGCACAATCCTGGGATCGAGCAGAGGATGGAAGAAAGTGATTATTCTCGGCACCGAGAAAGATGACGCCTTCAAGAGGCGGCTGGTACGGAGGTATCACGGCTTTTTGCGTCATATCAGCCCAGTTGATGTTCTGTAGGATGAAACACGAGCATTAATGGTGACTGCAGAGTGAATGTCTAGCAGGGCACAACTGGGAACTTCTCATTTGAACAGACACTTCAGTTGTGCAGATAGAACAAGGATTTTGAAAATAAGTCTTCAGTGTGGATATAAATTTTGGTCTCTGCTCTGCAGATTGCTGGGAGGGGCGTTTGAGGATGCACGCAAGGTTCCAAGCAAGTTATTTGGAAGGCGTGTGGTGAGAGGTTTCTTCTCGAAAACGTCATTTGTCAATGATTTTGCACTCTTTTCCTAACTTGTTATTGTGAACACATAAAGCAACTTCTGTCAGTGTTATGACATTTGTTGCACACAACCAGTTCTGCTCACGAAGTAAACAGCGTCTTTCACTTTTAACTCAAGTCTTAAAATAAGTCAAAAGTCTCAAATTCTTTGGATGATAGGGGAACCTTGATTTTCTTAATACAAGTTAACGTGGACAAGACACAGTTTAGAACTGAAATATTTATATGCTTTGTTGTGCTAGAACCGACAAGGGGACAGAACTCACTTTGAAGAATGGGTGCCTCTTGATGACCTTCACACCGGTCTTCCCTGCACCTAAACGCTTCTGTGGCTCTTTCGCCAATAATCGTGTGATGAAGTCCGCCACTTCAGCTGAAAACTCTTTCGGCATCTCCGGGTTCTGCGTCAGAATTCGGCTGTAATGGGGAAAAAAGAACGCCATTCTTGTATTCGTATACAGAAAATTGCATATTAAATATGCATTCATAATTAGCGTGTCTAAAGTCTCTTACTTCTATTGTGAGAAGCCTCATCAGTGGCTAATTTACATGGAAATCTCTGAAGCGAATAGCACAACAGATGTTTAAGATGGATCATCTATAAAGACGCACTCAGCTTCTCAGCGCTTTGAATCCTTTACTTTCTTCTCCCTCACAGTCGATTAGATCTTTGTACAATCTTCAGATTTTACATGGTTTTGGTCAACAGGCATTTTTCTGACTGCACTTCATTCTCTGTCTAAGGTCTATTTAGCATGTGCTTCAAGTGGTTATTGATATTAAGAACAGAAGATAGCGACAAACTGATTTCAAGAGAAACGTGTTTAAAGGAGCTTGTCTGTTAGATCCCTTACAACTGAACTCACTCAAAGACCTCCACAAAGTTGTCACTCTCTTCACCCTCTGCTTCAAATGGAGTGGTTCCTGTGAGCATCTTGTACACGATGATACCCAGACTCCACCAGTCAACCGACTGCAACAAAAAACAGGTGAAATCGGTCACTTTTTATTTCTAAAGACTTTTACAAGAATTTAAGGGCAACAAAATTTGCGGGATCTGTAAAGTGTCGTAAATTTATTGCATTAAGGTTATGTATATTCATTCGCCGTTGAAATAGTTCAAATTTGCATCAGTTTTGGTCAAAACCAGGCAGAGACCTTAAATTTCTTTATTAACCATCGTGCTAGTTCATGTTATCGTAACAGTTCGTCTGCACTTTAGTTCAAATCTCTTCGTTCACTACATTTATTCTTTATATCTCAGTTTGTATGTAAGCCAATAATACATTTTTCCATATTTTGGAGGAAAAATTGACACTCGAAGCTACAAAGGGACAAAGACCACAAAATAATCACGTGTGTCTTAAATGACATTTTCTGACAAATGAGTGTCAGCTGGCACAACGTTAACTGCACCAAATACAGACGAAAGCTTCTGACACCTGTAATGTGCACTGACTACTTTATCCTTGAATGTTATTATGAGCAATTGGTAAACACACATAGATTTTAAAATATTCTTTCAATGTTGACCCTTCCTGGAGGTAGGCATTGGTAGAAGAACATCTCATCCTCCATCAAATTTGTACTTATGCATCCGTACCCTCACATTGTCACACTACGAGGGCTGATTTGTTAACATTAATATTACTGTGGGTTCAGTCACATGAAACAGTGAAATCGTAAGAAACTTACTGTGGTATGTCCTTTGCCTCTGATAATTTCAGGAGCCATGTAGAAAGGCGTTCCACAGAAGGAATATGCACGTTTACGCTGTTGACAGAAACAAGATGTTACATAGGTATGACAGTAATCTGAGACACAAAGCAACTAGTAACTAACTCTCTGGTATTAAGCCTAAAATCCTAATATTGCTAATTCCAAATACCACTCCTGCCCTCAGAATATTTTTTTTTTATATTCATCTTAATTCTGTCCCCCATGTTCTTCCTTGTCTTCTGCCTTAGCTCTTTGTAAGGGGTTTATCCCACCAAGTGTGGCCCATTATAAGTAACATAATTCAAGTCACTATCCGGACAATACTCTGCGAGCTGTTATCCACAAAGTTTCCCATAAAATAACATCTAAATTAGTCCTCTCTTTACCTCATACCGCTTTGTTAGCATTAGAGTCTATCTTCTAACACCGGTAATTTCAGTTTATGGTATTTATATTTCTTTATGGTAAGAAACCGAACGAATTGCAAACAGATGTACTACAATTAAAAGGGTTCTGTGCTTCTGAGTTCAGCTCCTCAATTTCTGAGTGCATCCGATGCATGTTAGTTGCGCTTTCCATTAAATATTGGTACAAGACACACAATCTGATCACGGATGAAGCAATTTTAACAACTGAAATACGTGCACCATTATGATTCTTGTATTCTGACGTCCGTCAGACAAAGCGTATTGACAGTCGGACAGTCAGACAGTGGTCCACGCAGTTCCTACATTGTCGGCCTATGTGTTTCTGTAGCTAGACTCAACAACAAAAGGGCCTAAGGTGGAAATTAAATTTACCTTCTGACCAGGGTGGAACTTTTTACAGACGCCGTAGTCAGTAATCCTCATGTGGCCACTGGAGTCTATGAGGATGTTCTCAGGTTTGAGGTCGCGGTAGATGACGCCTATCTGGAAAAAATAAAAAAAATAAACAAATTGCTTCTGTTCTATTGTTTCCGTACTTATTGTGGCTGTGAGATGCAGACCAAGCAGTTTGCTTTTCTGCTACAGTGTAGCTGCTGACTAATTTTCCACAACTTTTGTTATTTATTAAGTCATGACTATGCTCATGAGTCAGGAAGTATCATGTCACTGGGTCTGAATGCGGGGGAGGGGGATTGATTAGGAACAGGAACCCTGTGATCTTAAAAAATGACCTTTTCTAAAATAACTCATAAAACGAATCCTTTTTTCACTCATGAACAAAATCATTATTTCCCAAAATGTTGGCTGTCATTTCCAACCCGAAGTAGAAACGGGCCATCTGAACGTAGAAACAAACAAATCATCTATTTGTTAAGCACTTCATTGACGAGGGCTGCAGTGCGTCCGTGCGCCTACCTTGTGCAGGTATTCGATGCCGAGGACGATCTCCGCCGTGTAGAACTTCACGGCCTCCTCGGCAAACTTCTCTCGCTGGTTGAGAAGGTCATACAGGTCTCCACCTTCCAGAAAGTCTGTAAACGCATTAACAACAGCAGTAATGACGAGACCTCGTTATTTTGACGATCCTTACTCTTGCTAGATGTCAGCGAATAGTTCGGTAATGCATATTAAATCCGACAAAAGTGTAATTGAAAGTGAAACTGTGCATAAGACTGAAGGGTAACATAGTTTAACAAGAAGCAAGGAATTCTTCCCTAATTCGGCTGTGATTCCTCATTCTCTTCTGAACATAGCTACACACGTCACTTCGTTGCTATTGGGGACCCACACACGCAGTCACGAGGCTGTCCCGAACATGAGGGTAGTTCTTCATCTACTCACCCATTACCAGGTGCAGATCGGAATCCGTCTGGAAGGTGTAGTGTGACTTCACCAAGAACGGGCTGTCACCTACTTCTGCTGACACTCGGCACTCCGTCATTGTGTGCTGGTAAGTCTTCCTATCCTTAGTGATGATCTCCATCTTCATGGTCTTCATCGCGTAGAGTCGTCCCTTATCGAAGCCTGTGCTCTTCTTGACTAAACTAACCTTCCCGAAACCTGTAACATTTCATCTGTGTTACTCATTGATGCCCGTTCAACAAACGGTTCTCATGTAAGAAAACAATCTTCTCATACAGATTAGGAGTCAGTACAATTTCTATGCAGCGTCTAAACTTCTTGAGTGAAAAAGAATTTTTCAGTACATATGTTCTGTAGTCAGTTTAATTAAACTTTTTCTATTATAATACTTCTGTGCTAAATCTCTTCGAAGGGTTGATTGACCTAGTCACACGAGCTCAATGCCCGAATTTATTTCTTGCCATCTTGTTTTGAATCTACCTACAAATAAACTTTTATAGGCCATAGGTTGAAAATTATCTATGTCAGAACAGGCTCTACATAATTCTCAGTTTGTTAAAGCAGATACAAGTAGGCAAATAACAAGGTTGTCACTCATGTATTAGAATGATGGTGCCGGGACAGTTAGTAGTGTTAAACTCAGCAAGAGCACGCGACACATCAAGCTGTTACCGTTAATTTAATTCTGTTCGTGGACAAAACAGTGAAATTACGGTAAGACTTGTTTACACCGAGTAGGTGCGATGGCTGCCTTGCTACACGTGAACCTGATGATGACCCTATAATGTCGAAACAATACGAATACTCGTAAAACAGTGGAAATTAGCGCATGTAAAGAGCAACATACCGGAAAACTACACTTCAGAATGTTGGTCGTGACACAAATTAAAATCTCATTGACGTCAGGAACAAGGTCCTTGCCACAGAAATGTCCTGTCAGCCTCTACCTGCATATTTCGCTCTCAATTGAGGTGCAGTAAACAAGAACGAGTGCCCGGAAGGCAACAGTAAAATTTTGGTCTCCTTATTGTCTACTGATTAAGAATTGAATTAGTAAACGTCCATGGAGATGCCAAAAGATTCGGTGTGGTTCCGTGCATTTGGTGCCGATGTTAAGAATTCGCAAGTGTCCTTCTGCCCTGTTATGAACTAGACCTAACGTCACATAGAGGATCAGTAAGGAGATGTGACGGCAACGAGGAAGCATTAGTAACAACTCAGATTTGCCAATGTACTTTGCTAGGAAGGAGTTCAAAAACATGTCAGCCAGCAGAGAAAAAGGTAAAAAAAAATCGATATTGTTGCTGATACATTTCCATTGCCTTGCGATATTTCAAATTATCTTATTCTGACTTCTAGAAACAAGAAAAGATCGCAGATGATTATGATGTTTCTCAGACCTTTGAAAGCGATTATACAGTAAAATATTCTGTAACTGATGTTCAGTATGTTTATATTTTCTGTAGTCACGTGCCTATAAAAGCTGTGACTGATACAAAACTGGGCTCCACTTTTGTTGCTTCCAGAGTTTCTGCTACAGGTTCGCGTTCTATAAGCATAAAATTCGTCGCAGAATTAAGATAAACCTGCACTTACTCCCTTCTCCTAGCAGCTCGAGGGATTCAAAATCGTCTTCACTGACACCGCTGGTCCATGGTTGTTCCGCTGTAACAGAGCATCACAATTAGATGTTTGACCGGGAAGTAACTTTTATTTGCACAAATAATTATATTAATCTTGCGAGTAAAATAAACCATGATAGTGAATCCATGAGGTTTCTGTGGGCTGGACGCGTGGCACTCACGGGGGAAGTTAAGGTATATATACAGAATTTTGGTGGGAATCCTTTAGGAGATGACCACTCGGCAGACCAAGAAGAAGATGGAAGGATAATGTCAAGATGGATCTTAGGTAGGTGGACTGTGAGGATGGTAAATGGACGGAGATGGCTCAGGTGGAGGGATTGGTGTTGCCGGTGTTGGACCTGCGGGTTCTGCTACCAAGGAGTTGGTTAGTTAGTCAGTATAATAAACCATAAAATTCCCCATCGTGCTTAGTATTTGTTATAGTTGTTGAGGAACCAGTGCCAGTTCGCATGGATGTCTGTTTCCTGATCTGCAAAGTTATTGTCTTTAAAACTAACGTGTCAGCTGTCTGTTTCATATATATTACCAACAAACATAACACATAGTCTAATGTTCTTGTTTTCTCTTAAATTACACTAGCGGCTAGCTAAATGAAGCGGACTATGATTCATGTGGCTCTGTATGCTTCCAGATGAAATACAAATGCAAGATAATATGCTGAGTTCAAGGCACCCCCGCTGAGTTCCCATTGCGAAAAGCACGTCCCAGGCTCCAGCCTTACGCTGGCCAGACACAAGCCCGCATAGCATCTACGTTAAGCTACAATCCTAAAATATAAATCTAACAAATTTACAGTATATTATAATTATAACGTTTGATTTGGAAAGGTAGTATCAAAAGCAAAATCTAACTTAAGCCCCTTTCTATGCATACAAACCGGATTGACGACCGAAAGTCCAGTTCATATCCATCTCTGGTAGCATGTCCGGAATCGAACTCAGAATAGGCTGTCACAATATCCTTGATGTCCTTTTTTTCGTTTGTTGGTTCTGGCGATAATTTGTTGTCACAAATCGGGTTTCCCAGGTAACCATTGTTGTTTATTTGTTGATAAACAGATGAAGTTTCCCAGGTAACCATTGTTGTTTATTTGTTGATAAACCATTGTTACACTTTTTCGTTTCACTTTTTGCCGAATGACACTGACCCTAAAATATAGACGTATTTACGTCAAAATAACGTCGGGTTTTATTATACTTGATTAATTTTAAAGACGATTTTTGAGGGGCCCGGGCGTTGTTGAGACAATCGCCCCTGGGCGAGCGAGAGAAAATATTTCCTTCCTTCGAATCCCGGCAAAGATATTTTCTGTTGTTTGGATAGTAAGCACCAGGGAAGAATGGCGCTAAGGCAAATTTTGTTTCTTCCTAGGAAGGGATCTGATTAACTAAGGTCACAAATCCGAAAACTGTCCTGCTTTCCAGAAGATGAATTTGTAAGAAACTGTCGTATTTGCCCCTAGTAAACACCGCAGAATCTACTGGTCACGAGTAAACTCGAGATTGGGGGTTGACGTGATTCTTCACTTCTTCGCTTACGGTTCGTGACGAAGATTCATTTTGACGAATGAGCGAACACAGGAAGCTCAGAACTCTGGGAAAAGTGTCCTGAGTTCGATTTCCTTCAAGGGCAGTTCCTTTAACTCCGAAACTAAGCACGATACAGGATCAGAGTTTTTTGCTTCGAAGAGGAGATTGCGGAAACGAAGGCCTGGACACTGAGTTCGAGTCCCGACAAGGATGGTTTCTGTTGGCAGGAACTTAACCGCTAAACAAGAACGACGCCAAGACAAAATACTTTCGGTTCTGAGAGGAAATTACGGGGTCTAAGGTCACAGACACGAAAACAGTCCTCGGTTGGAGTTTTTCTTAAGATGTTGGTTTCTGGGATAATTTTTACGGGCGTATTAAACAATACACATTTAATGATTATTCCTATAAGCTACCAGATGTCCCAAAATTATGGTGCTGATTTTGTGTAGTTATAGTAGACCATGACTTTTTTATTTGTTCGTAGTTTTCAAGGGGGGTTCCTTTAACTCCGAAACTAAGCGAGACAGAAGAAGGGATCAGAGTTTTTTACTTCGAAGAGGATATTTCGGAAACGAAGGCCTCGATACACATTTAATGAGTAGGCTTATAAGCTACCGGGTGTCTCCAAATTAATCTGCTGATTTTGTGTGGTTATAGTAGACCATGCCTTTTTTATTTATTCGTAGTTTGTTTAACGATGCATTTTCAGTAGCTCAGAGTAGCGCACGAACATTCAATCCATTGATAAATTCTTGTACGTAAATAATTTTATTATTTGGAAACAAGAGGTGTGCACCGGTTATTGGTTGGGAAGCCTGAGGGGAAGAGATCGCTGGGGAGACCTAGACGTAGATGGGAGGATAATGTCAGGCGTGATCTACGGGAGATAGGAGTTGAAGGAAAATGGATTTTGTTGGCCCAGGACAGGGTCTGGTAGAGGGCTTTGGTTTTTTCGGTGATGAACCTTCGGGTTCGGTAAGCCGTTTAGTCAGTAAGTATTTTCAGATCTTGAGCAATTTACGAGCGGATATTTCTGTGAGCTTATTCGATTAAGCATGTCCTAGCCCTTGTGATTAAGTAACTGGTAATGTTGGAGTAGTGGCAACACTGTAGACTTCTGTTCTGGGGGTACCCGCTTCTGATCTCAGTTGGAACATGTTGTCTTGACCAATGTGTTTCGTTACTTCGAAGTGAATGAAAATAGTTTCGTAATGGTAAAAGAACACGGGGAATATGTTCCACTACTTCAGCGATATGCTACTGTTCGTCACACAAACATCAGGCAGCATTTTATCTCTGCGTATCTCTGTAAGTTGAAGAAATGCAGTTTCGCTGTCTATTGACAATATTATTATTCTTATTCCGCTGCCTTCTGCGAAGATATGAATAACCACTGCGGTCCGAGATAATGTGAAGGTTGCCGACCCTTGCTTTGTGTGTTAACGAGGAGCATTTGCCGTCCTGTTTAAGAATGGAGAATCTTTCTGTCATGCCATTGACGTTTGTCCTGATTTTTGTGACGCATTGTGGTTCAAATTTGTATGCTGCATAGTTTCTTTTGCAAAACAAGACGGGATTCAATTTGATGATGCTGTGTTGCATGTGTTCAGTCGATCGTGCCCAAAGCTTATATCAGAAGAGTGGCTCTGAAAGAATATTACGTAATATATTTTATCATTCCATAAGGTTCTGTTATTTTCATATGATTTAGGAAAATGTATTTGCAGGGCTTTCACAGCCTGGCAAAAATGCATTAATTATCGTTTATTTAATTAAACTTACTGTTATTTTGCATGTAATTTTATCAGAACGTATAAAATATCCAGAAATGTAATTTTTTTTAAAAATTTGATCCGTTTTTGTCACTTATTGTACAGTGCCTCGATTGCTGTTAATTCGTTACGTTTCGTCAAGACGACATAAGTCGCTGATGTCCTAACCGCTTGTGAGCGAACGAGTTTCAAGGTGTACTTTTAAACTTGTGCCCATATCTGTGTAAACGATGTAATAGGGTGTCACCTCTTCCTGCCTCATCCTCACCAGTTAGTTCACCGTACATAACAACCCTTTCTTCTCATTGCGTCAGGTATACTTTTAAACTTGTGCCCATATCTGTGTAAACGATGTAATAGGGTGTCACCTCTTCCTGCCTCATCCTCGCCAGTTAGTTCACCGTACATAACAACCCTTTCTTCTCATTTTACGCCTCATAACCGCTGCAGCTGAAACAGTCGAGTAGCGTTAATAAAGAAACCAGAGTTTAAACATAGTCATGGTTGGAGTCACACTAGACTTCCCTAGGCAGCGAGCGATTTGTCGCCTGTAAAGCTTGTATCCCGGTTCAGATAACACCCTCGTTTGCTCACTGTCCATCACGCCTCCCCCCTCCAATTCCCTTCCGCATCGGCCGCAGGGTCATAAATTCGCCCGCATGTCAAAGTGATCCCCCTAGATCCTTTCTCTGGGGTGCAGTGATTGGCGTCCATAAGCCCCGTCATCAACCTACGTCAGATATCCATCCAACTAAAGTTCGTTTTGTAAAGGACAAGCTAACTGATGGTGTCACGTCCCACCAGTAGCCTCTAGTCAAAACATGACAAGGCGTAGCGCAAGCACATTCCCCCTTATAGGTTCCACTTATCATTCTCTCTAACGAGAACTCTTGAGTAATTAGTAATCCATTTTGATTTCAGGCTTTCATGGAGCAACTGAAGAAAAATACGGGTTCCACTGAAGATCCGTCATCCATCATCGGACAGTTTGGAGTAGGTTTCTACTCAAGTTTTATGGTTGCAGACAAGGTTGAGGTGTTCACACGATCCAGCCTCAAGGACAGTCCGGGCTACAGGTGGAGCTCTGATGGGTAAGGCTCGGCTTTGAATCATATCTTTACCAGTTATAAACTCGTGCTTGTGTGGCAGAAAGTAACCTTGTCAGCGTAGCTTCTGTGACAGAATTAGATAAAAGGAATATAAGGAGAAGAAGAGATTAATTAAAATGTGTTGCTTTTAGGTTCACGTGGTTTTTTGTCTCTTTTTCGTTTTGTTAAGTGTCCTAATGATTATCAATTACGGATACTGGAGATTGTTTCGTTTAAGAGAGTCTTTTGTCTTGTTGAGGTGATTTAACTTGTGGTTTTAAATGGTAATTATTTCATATTTGTTTTGTGGTTTATTTAATTACTATAAATTGTCAAGTATAAAGTTAATTTCCGTGTAGAGTCTAATAATAAGATTATTGTGTGATGAACCAGAAAGGTGGATAGTTAGGGTGAGATTACTGTGAAAACTGACAGACACTTAGAAAACTTCAGTTATCGTAACAAAGAAGTGCCCCAGTTTTTAGTATTTTCATTCAATGAATACAAAGTTTGGTGTATCAGCAAAATTTCAGTATGTTGCTTGAATGAATCGTGATTTTCATTGCTAGCTTCTGTGTCATCACTGCAGCTACTTTCTTACATCACTGTTTTTCTGATGTCCAAGTAGTGTAACACAAATAAGTAGCATAAAGAGTATGTATATACAGTTTTTAAAAAAATAATTCCACATTTGTTTGAGTCACATATTTCTTTTAGGTAATATATCGAAGATAATTCAAAGTTTGATTATTTTTATCAGTGGGATAAAATAATTTTCTAATTGAAAGAAAATATTTAATTCAGCTCTGCTCAAAATAAAAAGAGACGCTTAATTTGACAAGAACAAATTAATTTTTTATAGAGAAAATAACCAGTAACACTTTTGAATACTTATTTTTTGGCTCCCATGGGTCATTTAACTGATGAAGAATATTAGTCATGTACCACAGATCTCATTAATTTTAACATTATTCATCATTACCTTTTATAATCTACCCTGCTGGCATTTGTGCAGTATGAGCCGGGATAGCTCAGTCAGTATAGTGACTGGCTACAGGCTGGACGATTGGGGTTTGATCCCCGATGCGGGCAGAGGATTTTTCTAGCCTCTACATCCAGACTGGACCACTCACCCCCATCTAGTGCCTAGGTCAAGAATGAGTAGGAGTTATAACCTCTTTCCCCCCAAGTGACAACATGGTGTGTAGTGGGACTGCTTTATTAATCATGCCATAGGCAGGGCAGATTCTGATTGCACTGGGCTTTATTTCGGCTTGAATAAAAGAAGGTAAGGCTTAGGTGGGGTATGGGTAACATATTTAAAGATAAAATTCAGTCAGGGTCCAAAGGTCTTCAAGCAAAAAAATTTTAACCCATGCTGACTTCCAAGTCATGGTCAACCTATAATGAAATGTTTCTTATGTTGTTGTTGATCTCAGAACAGGAACATACGAGATTCAAGAAGCAGAAGGTGTACAGCCTGGAACAAAGATTGCCTTGCTTTTGAAACAAGAGAGTCGAGAGTTTAGTGATGAAGACACGGTCAGTGGTATGTTTTTAAACAGTTTTCACAATTTCCTGAAGTGTCAGAATTTGCAACTAAAATAAAGATATTATTATCTGATATGACAAAAATATCGTGTACCAGATATCAGAAACTTGTTATACATAGGAATTCTGAAAATGGAAATTTCGTAAATAAAGAACTAATTTTCTATCAGGGGGTTGATCTCTGAGAAAATAAATATTTATGTTGTATCTAATATTATGTTAAAATTTTAAGTCATATGGTCTTTCTTACTCTCTGTGACACCACCACCTGCAGTGTTGCCTGTTATTAATCATGCAACTGGGTTAAAATTATAATCGTAAAACAGAGTGAAGGGTGGTTCATACTCTTTGGTAACTGTACATGAATTTGGACTGTAATATTTAATATTATCTTTATAACTAAACTACTGTCAGATTTAATATGGTATATCACTAAATAACAAATTCTGGGAAGCAAAATTCCTTCAACATTAGTAGTTACTTAACTAGTCAAGAAATAAGATGCATAATTATGGAATGTGATGGCTTATTCTGTGTTCATAAAAGCATGCTGCTGATCCCAGTTCTGACTCAGGTGAATCCAGTCCAAATTTTCCTACACCATTGTTTTCTTTTAATGTTACTCTCCCATCTTTACCGAGATATTCCAAATGGTTTCTTTGTTTCCAAATATTTTGTACTCATTTCTCATCTGTCCCATGTATTCTACATGTTCCACCCATTTCATCCTCCAAGCATGGTGTGTTAACTAGATTATGCCTTTTAGGCAGTCTTAATATGTGTGTTAAGATGCATCTTCTAGTGGCACACCATGCAAGCAAAGAACACCTTATGAACATGCCTGTCTTGTATAGTCTGGTATTGTATTATCAAAGCATTGATGATGGAGGCAGCAAGGACCTCTGAAACATTTGTAGACTTCTACCATACAACCTAGAAGACAGCCATCTTCATACTTCCTGCTGTGAGAATTTAAAATCTACAAAGAATGCCTTATGGGCTCATTCTTTCTGTCTCCTGCCTTTCAGTTGAGATTCTGCTGCCATCTCTGAGTGGCCATGTGAACTATTCTTTCCATGTAAAATAACTAGAATGGTTGAATGGATTTTCATTAAATTTGATGTTGAGGTTATGCCATTGGAGACCAGCCCAGACTTGTACTTTTTTATTTTGTTACAATATGTATATCCAAAGTGATGGATGTTCAAAGTTTTGAGGTGTTTATGTAACCATGTGATGATGTTATTTACCCATGAACCTCTTTGATAATGTCATCTAGGAAATGGCATCAATAAGCACATTTAAAAATTGCGGAACAGATTTTTATTTAATTTTGAATGGGCATTATGCTTATTTGAAGCTGTCCTGTGCTTGGTCTATATTAATTTTCTACAATCGGTAACACTGACATGATGATCTGTCAATGTCTGTATGAACTATGTGTCCTATGTCAGTAGGGATACAAATTATTTTATATTGCATCCATTGAAAGAGACCTAAAGAAATTTGAAATTTTGCACACTTTTGAATCTTGTTTCTTATTAATTCATATATTTAATTGAAATTAATTTAATAAAATATAGCAAATCATTGCTTTTACTTAATTTATTGTTTAAAGGTATAATAAAGAAGTACAGCAATTTTGTTGGAAGTCCTATCTTTCTCAATGGCAAGCTAGCAAATACAATACAAGTTAGTGGCCAATTTCATTTTACAAGTTCTGGTTTTTTGGTAGTGTCAAAATAAGTTTTGGTCATTGTGTATGGGGATGGAGATTTGGGGAAGAATAAAACTATTGAATTTATTCTTACTTTGCAATGATAAAAAAATCAATAATTTTAATTAAAGTTGTTACTTCTAACCTTTTGTGTTATTAATTCTTGATGGCTAATTCATCAGTATATACTCTTTCAGCCCCTTTGGCTAATGGATGCCAAAGATGTGACTCCTTAAATGCATAATGAGTTCTACAGATTTGTTGGCACATCATATGACAAGCCCCGGTTCATTCTGCACTACAAGACTGATGCCCCATTGACTTTACGAGCGCTACTCTACTTCCCAGAAGGGAAACCAGGTAAGCAGTATATGTACTTCACACACAGACAATTCAGAATCATGATGAGAAGGATTGTAATAATTTTAAATATCACAAAATGAATCAATATGTAGAATTTGTTTCACTGTCTCACTTTAGATGTTTCTTTGTGCTTTTATGAGGAAATCACAGTGAAGAGATTCAGTACTTACGCCATTCACCTCATATTGTTATAGTACTTTTTATCATTACTGTGTGTCTGTGAAACTGCAGATACTAATAGGGCTCATGGTCCATGTCCCAGATGAATCATGCATGAATTTGGAGCTTTGATCAAACATATACTGATGGGGGAAAACTGGAGGTCTCTGAGAAAAACATGTCTCATTGCCACTTTGTCCACCACAAATCCCGCAAAGACTGATTTGAGGGCAAACCCAATCCTCCTCCGTAAGAACGTCACAACTAACTGCTTGTGCTTTTGCATGGCTGTTAGGGTGATTAAATAAATATGAGATGGGTAGAACATGTAGTATGCACGGGAAATGCCTGCACATTTTTTTATAAAATCTTTTGGGGAAGAAACCATTTTGGAGGCCTGGGGATCAATAAGATAGATCTTAGAAGAAGTGAGCATAGGAATGTGGATTGGATTCATGTGGCTCAGCGTATAGGTGGTGGACACTTGTGAACATGCTAATGATTTACTGGGTTCTATAAAAGCAGTGGATTTGTTTAATTAGCTGAGTAATTGTCAGATTTTCAACAAGACTATAATATGGGGTAAGTCAAGTTAACATTTTAAGATCAGTAGCTGGAAACTTTCGATGTAACTTTTCATACGTATGATCAGAAGTTTTCATGGCGACAGTATAATGAATTCTTCTTGGGATATCAGCCATGTCAGGTGGTCTGATGTAGAAAACACCAAAGTTTCAAGAACCATCTAGAGGGTACTTCAGATGGAGATGGTTCTTGAAACGTTGGTTTTTGCTCCATTAAACCACCTGACATGGCTGGTAACCTGAGAAGAATTTATTATAAGTTTTCATCTGTTAATTGATGACTGGCTAGAATGTTATAATATGGTACTGACTGTATAATTTTATGTGTAATTTGCATCATGCAAGCCCCTGAGTTTCTGCATCATACAAAACAATGTAATTAATATTTTATGGTGTGTCATCAACTAAGGCTGAATTTTCAGCTGTAATTGAATGTTTAATGTCAAAATTGTAATATATTTCATGTTTATTATATAACTGGCAAGATATTACACAAAGGATGTTCAAATACTGTGAACTGTTTTTCCTGTAGGTTTATTTGAAGTAAATTCTGACGCTGGGGTGGGGGTAGCTCTCTACAGTCGCAGAGTGCTTATCAAGAACAAGACAGATAATATCCTGCCTAAATTTCTGCGCTTTGTCAAACGTAAGTTCTATGTTTCTTTTTATTTTATACGACCCGTTCTTCAGTGC